TGCAGTATAAAGCATGCAAGTACGTTCTTTTTCAAGAGTCACTCTGGTATTAAATGGGACACATTTAGCATGCTAAAATAATTTGCTACATTTTTCCTAATAGTTTACAACCTATCTGACATGATTATTCATGTTTATGAAACAAACATAAACCCTGCACAAAATCTACCAGAGTGAAACCCCAGACTGGACAACTTTCACAGAACGCTGGAGCCTGGTCTACCCCATTTTAACAGTAATGTGAAAAAGCACCAAGTTCAGACCAGCCAGAATTCTTTCTGTGGATTCATAATTTGCATTTGAGTTGTAAAAGCTGAATTGCAAAGTACTGGAAATAGTGTTTACTTTTCAAAACATGCAGCAAATTAAACAGATCAGTCTACATTGTGCATTGCTAGCTATTTGAACAAAAATCAGCGAGTGAAAACAATCTATAACAGAACAAAGTGATAACTAAACCAGATGACCTTTTTCCCAACTGCATTGTCCTATGTAGCTATGTATACATGATTCAACTCGTTTAGTACAGCATGGGAATGTTCCACTTGTATCACTGTGTGGTATCTTGCTAGTTCGATGTTCTAGTGATTCCTCTCTTTCTTAGGGTTTGTGTAGTAACCTCCTGCTTGTGTCCTACTAGCAATGCAAATGAAACTTCATTTAAATGAAAATACAGAAAGAACACTTGAAGTGAGATTTTTTTCTGAGAGTCATGCTTTTCTTTTGATGAGTACACTTGATAAAATGTGTTCCACCCACCCCCTGCCTTCTCTGTGTTTCATTGGTAACGTGACCCACCACACTGAAACAGTGTTATTTCCTGAAAGGCTGTAGGCAAGCACAGTGATGAGAAGACAAAAAGAGAAGTGAACATTAAATAGAAAGGGAGAGAAAGGGATTGTGCATATGTATGAGGAAATCAGAAAAAAATTGGTAAAAAAAAAAAAGTGTGGTTAGAGTTGAATATAATAAGGGGGAAATAAGTGCATATTCCTTTGAAAGTGTATGCATGATAGAATACAGAGGAATAATTCTACCCACATCGTTACTCAAAATTCCCACTTATTTCTGTGGGATATGAATCTGAGAAATGAGGATAGATTTCAATGACATTAGCATGAGTTTAATGTTAGTATAATGGAGTTCATATTTTGGAAAATGTTTGAGAGTAGTCAAAACAATAATTTCCAGAAGTCATGTTTAAAAAAATGTCTTTGCTTAAAGGAAGGACAAATCAGAACTAAAATTCTAGGAATTTTTTTTTACATATATCTATATAAATGCACACACACACACTCTATTCATGAATTTGCACTTTCCGCAAGTATGTGGAAAGAAATTCTTCACTATGAGGGCAGTGAGGCACTGGAGCAGCAGGTTGCCCAGAGAAACTGTGGCTGCCCCCTCCCTGGCGGTGTTCAAGTCCAGGCTGGATGGGGCTTTGAGCAACCTGGTCTGGTGGAAGGTGTCCCTGCCCATAGCAGGTGGGTTGGAACGAGACGATCTTTAAGGTCCCTTCCAACCCAGACCATCCTATGATTCTATGATTCTGTGTAAGAAAATAGTATTTAAGAACATTTCCTTGGTGATAACGTTTACAAGCAAAGCTACTTAAGTTTGTAATCAAAGGACGATTGGAGACAAGAAAAGAATTGCAGCAGAGGAATACCAGTCATTCTCAAACATGTAGCAATACCCTAATTCACTTCAACAGGGGTGCATTCCCTGTAATAGGCTTTTTTTTCAACATAACTTTGAAATCTTCCTCATTGCCAGTCATATCACTTCTTTGAGTAAGCACCTACTTTACTTATAGCTGGAACTCACATTGAGTGAACCATCAGCAAAAAAGCCTATGCATCACCTAAGTTCTTATGCACTGATAAATTTCACATTTTAACCTGTCCTAAAGCAATTGTTCGTTTAAGTCTCCCCTTCAGGGTTATTAATAGAAGGAAATACAGCCTATTTCATGAGGTCGTATTTTATACACTTATGTTTATACATTTTTAGTCTGCTCAAAGTCTTCTATTTTGTACCAACTGTTATATTTTGCTCCTGACAAAGCGTCAGCTGGGAACAAACAGCTATGGCCCTGAACACGTGCCTCATTTTCACTGTGTAATTTTATCCCATGAAGCTCTTTATTATTCTATATTCTCTCTACCGTGACCGATATCCCACAAGTCATTGCCAGATTGAGCAAACTATGGGCCTGATTTGTGAGAGAGAGAAAGAAGACTGCTTATTGTTAACAGATATGATAGGTGAATAATATATCAAAGCAAAAACCTGGGCAACAGCATTCATGCATTTTAGCATGTTGTATAAATTTGGAAGTGTGGAAAATCAGAATACTCTTGGGATGTTCTGCTTTTTCTTTGCCCCAAACCACTTCTTAATCACAAAGTTAAGTAATAAAGCATTGGCAAATGACAACTTAGTGCTCAGTTTTGCCTGTGAGACTACATACTAAACATTCATGCCTGACTTTTCAACTAGAATATGCATTTATCATTTGTATTGTAACACTCATCACTTCAGAAGTGATTAGTTGTCATTTAGAGTCTGGTTGATGCCATAGGGAAATGTTTAGACCTGTACTTAACTCTTTTAGATTGATTAATGTAACTTCTGGTTCAGAACAGATTTCTCAATCAGTACAGATTTTTCACTGAATATCATTTAGTTCAGGACCATAGCAATTGTGGGGTGATTCACAGATTTTTCAGGTGTTGTAATGAACTTCTAAGTAACTGAAAAATAGTAACCAATCTGTCATCTGTGGCACTGACCTGCTACAAGTATAGCTGGTGAGAGGGAAAGACAGTTCAAAACTTACCTGAACTGGCACTGGAAAAGACCCCAGTCTGATTTAGAATGTCTGTATAACTATCATGTATCACATGAATTTCAGAGGTCTCATCTGATCTATTATGGTAGGCTGTTGAAGCATCTTCAGAATAAATCATTTAATTGCTTTGTGCTGTCTGACCTACCAGTTTGCACTAACTGGTGCTAATTTGGGACGTGAGTTTAGTATTTAGCTAACTACAAGTCTTGGGTGGCAGATGCAGACTTTAAAATTCCAAGGGAAGTGATTTGATACTTTTGTTAGAAAATCATTGTGACATTATTATTACTAATAACATTAAAAATCATATTTCTGTGTTGCATCATGTTTTACTTAATGCATTGCCGTTCTTTTGCACTACACTGAAATGGTTCTTGCTGAAGAGTCTACTTACCTCTTCTTAAATCTCAAAACCATGCTCTCTGATGTATTAGCTACCATCAGTCATATTCTTCTTTCTAGAATCTCATTTTTTTCTGGTTCCTATGGCCTTATTATTTCCCAGATCTCCTCTTAGCTTTCTGATTGTAACTTCAGTAAGTGCTTTAGAGGGATCTTTCTTGGTAGACCTCCACATCATCTCTTCCCTTTTTATTTGCAGCTACAGCTTCAACTGCTGTCTCAGTACAAGCAGCTCACAAATCTGCTTCATTAATCCAGACCTTCTCTCTCCCATCGCACCGAGGTCTCTGTCTCTCAGATGATCCCTTCTGAATGACATTGGCTGTGTCTCTACTGGCAGATAGTATGGAGTGGTGAAACAGGCACAGATCAGGAAGGCAAAAGAGGTGGTGCTGAGGACCTCACGCCTACATTGTGTGCATTGTGCAGAGAGGATATTTCAGACTAGCTGTGATCTAGTAACATGAATTGGATGCCCGTTAGTAGCTGAAGCACTGCTTGGAGCAAAAGCACAGGTGCAGTCTTTGAACACAGGGTTAGGGTTAGTTCGTCTCAAAGTTCATGAGCTCCAGGACTGCTCTGCGATGCAAACCACAGCCCAGTAAGTGGAAACGTCCTTCTGAAAGAAACACTGCATGCTGTCTGCCGTGCTTCCTCTCATACTGTGGAGGAAGTATCAGTGGCCTTTTGGGAGATGCTTATAAAAAAGCTTGAGATTTATTTGGGCGTTAATCTACTATGGCACAACCTACCACGCTGACCAGCTGCCTGCCTCTTTTAATTAAACTGTAAGTTTTTTGAGGTGTCATCTTCTCTTTTCCTAACACTGATGCAGTGGGATAATAATTATTTTCTTATAAATGCAAATACATGATTATGATATTATTCCTGTTGCAGTTTATCTACTGCCATCTCTTTTCTATTTCCAGAAAACTTCTCATGTCTTTGTTGTATAAGACATCTGGTCAGTACAGCTCAGCTACAAGCCAAGGACTGTAAGAACTGTTTCAATTAGCATAATCTCCCTGTCATAAACAGTACATTCTTTGTCATCGGAAAGGAGAATTATGTAAGGTTGCTTCTAGCCATTGTAGTCAGTTTGGAGATGTGTGGCAGGGGAAGGATATTTATTTCTTTTTTGTGCAGTTAAAGCGCAGAATTAAAATGCCTCAAATATTGTTTTATCCTTTAGTACTATGCATTCATTTCATCACTAGGATACAGACCTAGTTTCAGTTGAGTGGTGTAACTGGCCAGTAGTGGCTCTGGTAGCTATGCAAAATACGATGTGAGAATGACCACACAGTCAAGACAACAGCACTGCCAGGTTCAACTATACCAATATATTTACAGGACAAGCTGCAAGGTAGCATAAAATGACAGAGGAGGAGAAAAACCCTCTATTTAAGCTCTATCATCCTGAAGACTGACCAGGTTATGTATTGCTCAATTCACTCCTGCATGTAAGTCAGCGTGTCCCTTGCTTGAGTAGGCTAACCTCCATGAGACCGGCCACTATTTCTTGTGCCCCTTTGTGCCCAGCCATAAAGGATTGTTGGGCAGCTCATGGGTTGGGTTTTGGGTTTTTTTTAATGTATCTTAGTAACAACTGTGTAAATTAGGAACTAGTGTTAAAGAGAAAAAATACTATGAGAAAGACGGTATGGGCACTGTTCAGCTTGACTAGCTTCTGGCTCACCACTCAATATGGCTACTCACTTAAGCCCTCTGTACTGCTCTTCAGAGACACTTTGATCTTTCCTTTGAGAATACACAGGTGCTTAAGGGGAATTCAGGCCACAAAAAGTATCATTCCCTATATTTCTGTGGATCGTACCGCTTCTATGTGGCACATCAGGTCTTTGGAGACTTAGGCAAGAGCCTTACACAATTACTCTTCTCTAGCAGACTTCCTGGTCTTCCCTAGCAGACTTATTTGCCTTTAGAAGACTTTCTTTATTAGTAGTTAGTATTTAGATTTAGATTTATGAGGTGAAAAGATGAAATATTTTTCTTAGGTGTTGTCATCCTGAGGGTGCCTTCTTAAGGGCTCAGCTTCATTCTTTCAGACTTTCTGAAAGAAGGCCCTGTATTGTTCCTGTGCTACTTTCTTATAAGCAAGTAAGAAATATTTTAAGTCTGCTAATACAGTTTAGCTGCTTTGAACTGGTGGCTTTGTTCCAAAGAATGTTTGCAGCTGAGTCTGTACCTCAGTGTGTGTGTCTGTTGTATGTGTACCTGTGCGGTTTGCCCATACTTCGGGATTTGGAACTGAACAGCAGTGTTGTTGCCTATCTGAGCCTGGTGTAACACCAGATTAATACAGTGTGTGTTGCTAAAGCTGATTTTAAATTTAAAATTACCATTAGTGAGCCCCTTTTAGTCACTTCAGTCTCTGTTTATACTGATCTGTCTTCCTTTTTTTTCCCCACTCAGATGTTGCAAGGGCAATTGAATTACTGGAGAAACTGCAAGAATCTGGAGAAGTACCCGTACACAAGCTACAGTCCCTAAAGAAGGTGCTGCAGAGTGAGTTTTGTACAGCTATCAGAGAGGTATGGAATTGAGATTTTTAGTTATTTCTCGGAATAACATCCCCCTCCTGAAAAGCGAAGCCTTTCAGTGCTGGAGAAGCAGGAGTACCTTGTATAAAGGATGATGGATGCGAGATGTGTCTGTAGCTGCCTGCTGCCTTGCAGAATGCTGAAGTTACTGAAAAGCAGACACAGAATAATTGCGTCAGCAAGGCATCAAGCCTGAGGCAATTAGCCTTGCTGTGGAGAAAGGATGATTAATTAGTATTTTAGTATTCTGCTCATGCTGTTTCAGGGTCTGTGCTAACCTGTACAGCACTGTGCTGGGATGGGGGGACATGCCAGGTTGGGTCAGTGCAAGCTTAAATGCCTCTCCTTTGAGCTCAGGTGTGTGATAGGGATGTGCTGATAAAATCAGATGCAGTGAGAGACGAACGGTGCAAGCATTGAAGTTAACTGAAGCTGACAGGAATCTTGCCGTTGAAGTCAGTGGTCAGGTCCCAGTGGGCCTTGCTCGGCGTGTCAGAAATCCCTGTCAGATTGCTAAGAACTGTGATCATTAGCCTGCCAGCCATGGCCAGGGCCTTCCTAAGCTCTGCCCAGCAGTAGATGAATGATGATTGTTTTCTTCTAGTCAAGCTAGAGAAGAAGCACCCTCCTTCCTACATGCATACAAGCAGTATCTTTAAAGCAGTTCAATTACAAGTACTGCTGTTGGAAGTTTCTTAGACAGAAGCCATGAATTAATACAACGTTGTGTCAGACTTCTTACCTACTAAACGGACTGCAGTTAGCCTGCCAGACAGAAGCAGCTCTAAATGCCCTAATGAAGACAACATCTTTTCAGCAGAAAATCTGTAAGAACTTCTGTTTCAGTTTATCTAGCTACTGCCTGGAACTAATCCTCCCTCGCTGAAATCAATGGGGAATCTGATGTTCCCTCAATGATAGTGGGATTGAACGCCTGATAACTAGGCAACAGCAGTGCATTGATTGAGTGGACTACTGGGTGACTGGGAGGAAGAAAGAGAGGAACAGGCATTAGTTTAATAAGCAAAATGCAACACGCTCTTTGTTTTATGGAATATATTCTTCAATGTGAGAAACAGAGAGAGGCTTCCACTTAATTAAAAGGCAGTTTTCAAGGCTTTTTAAAGGGAATAGTGTTCCATGACAATAAATAATGGCACTATGTACCCTGAAAAGCTGATATTCTGACTAGTCCTTTCATTTAAAGCCACTAAATTCTTCTTTAATTGGCCACAGAGCATTGAAAAGTTGTGGGGGTTTGGGGTTTTTTTTTCCAGATAGCAGAGCCTGGTACTTCAATTGTCAAAGGCAATTTTCAATCTTTGCAGTATCATCAGTGAAATCTTACCAGGTTTATATTCACCTCTGGAAAACAGTCTTAGCAGAAGCAACCATAAAGCTTGTTGAAACAGGTACAGAGCCTAGAAAGTAGGAAAATGGCTTAGACAAATGCACTCTCAGTTCAGTGAACTGAAAGTAGTCTTTGACAAAATCATCTCAGTGTCACAAAAGGTCTTTATAGAATGTTGTGTACAGACAACCTGCACATGACAGACTATCTCATTACTGTTAGATTCTTACAGCCAAATAATAGTCACCTCAAGAAATATGGAGCTAGTTGTTACACAAGAATTGAGTGATGATGAATGAGCAGTTAGATCAGTTCTACCAACTTCATAAACAAAAACATTTATTTCTTTTAAAATATTTAATATATAATATAACCTCTCTATCTAATATATCACTATCAAAGAACAAAATTTCTATACCCAAAAATATTATTAATGCCATTCACCACTATGCGTGTAAATATTTTCTTAAAAGAAATCTTCAAATAGAAAAGGCCCAGTAACAAATCTTTTTATTTAGGGAGAGTGAGAAAATTAACATACATACATTGCTAGTACTTAAGGTTGTTCAACATGTGGCTCCTCTTTTCAGCTACTTACATTAAGCCCGTGGCAAATACTTGGACTGTGCCTCTCTTTTTTACCACTGGTTGAAGAGTTGTTGGAAAATTGCAGAAAATAATTTCTTCCATTTAAAAAAAAAAAAATGAGAAGAAAAGCATGGAATGTTTTGGTTGTGTTGCATTGTTAGACATCTCCAAGCACTGCAGCAATGGCTTGGAGGATATCTGAGCTGGGTCTTGCTGTTAATCAGGGATGCTCTTCTTGCATGGCCTTCATGTGGACTGGAGTTTATGAAAGACTGGTAGCTGCTTTATTGAGCAGCACAGTTTTTTCTGAGTGTATTTGACCTTGAGATAGCTGAGACTAGACAGAAATCTCTTTGCAAATACTCCCTCCCATTGTTTATCTTCTTTTATACCAAGTGCAAGTTGTGAGAGAGTGGCGACTAGCCTTTAATTCCCTCTATTAGCACCTACATAGACTAGAGGAGATAAGTTGTTAACCTTACAAGGGAAGACGTGACAGTCAGTTGGAAGTAACAAGAAAAGTAGGAGTTGTTTGGAACACACAGGGTTTCCTGGAGAAAGCAGTGAAGCAGACCAAGTGTGAGCAGTAGGTAGGGGTAATTGAAATAGGATGAGGAGCAGTGGGAGGCTTTGTATTAGTATGCAAATTCTGGAAGAGACTGCTTATTATATGTATGCAGAGATTCAGATCTGCAGTGTGGTGTGTTCATTGTATAATGCAAGATCTGAGCCTAAATTTCTTTCACCGGAAAATCTAGTAAAAGAGGTTAAGGCTGACTGCTGTAGCCCTATAAACTCCATAATGGAGGAGCTTTGGAAAATAAAATTTGCTTTTCCAGTCCAAGAAGTTATGAACACTTAACTGTCCAGTGAGTTTGATTAAAGCACGTCCCAGAGAAACTCAGTATTGGGCTGAATGAAAATAAAATGATCAAAGATAAGATACAATCCACACAGTATTGATTGAATGTGACTTGTCCCTTCTATAAGTAGAAATTGTTTAACTGCAGAAGCAAGAGACCACTTTTATGATCAATTAGCCTTTAAAAGTATGAAGTATTTTATTAGATGACATACATTCCAATCTAATGTGTAGGAATCTGTTAAAGGGCTGTAATGAATTGTATTTATGGGAACTTATTTAGAAAATCAACTTGCCAGTTCAAATTCCCTCACTAATATCCAAGAGAAATAAAATCTTTTCAAAGTGACTGAGTGAGTGAAATTTAAATAGAAGTACTTTGGCATTTTTCTAGGATGTTATATCAGGAAATGGTAATTAATGGTTCTCACTTAGCTAAATATAAGTACTACCAACTGAAATAGTCCGTCTGGCACTAGGCACGAATATGTATTAGCTCTGGAAATAATGGAAATAATTGAAGTATGTAATGGCCTCAGTATTTCCTTTTCACCTGAAGACCCCTAAACCAGAAAACAAGTTAGCTGAAGTCTGGTTATATTAAAATTGAGTTTTGAAAATAACTTTGATTGCATTTTAAAATTACTTGTTTCAAAAGCTCCCTAGCCACATGAAGATTAATTAGCCTTCTATAGCCGTGTCACCTGGCAAAAGATGCATGAGTCTTGTCCATTATAGCATTAAGTCCTTTACCTTTCTGTGTGTTTTTGCTGTGTATTGAAAGCTGTTGCTACATTATAGTCGTCTGATTCCCGGGGGGTTACTGGAATAGATGAAGGCCAAGGCTAAGAAAGTGAATGTATAGTTGAACTACTGAGAAGGTATATTCATGTAAGTGAAGACCAGGTTCGGGACCTCCTGAGGAACCTAAGCGTACAGAAGTCCATGGGACCTGATGAGATGCATCCCAGAGTCCTGAGGGAACTGGCTGATGTAGTTGCCA